GTAGGAAAATTAGACGTCTATAGCAAACTGTGCGTATTTAATAAAACCACAACAGGAAAAAAAAAATTCTAAAATTAAATTTCAGAATGTAAATTTTTAATTCCTAAACTCAGAAAAGAAAAGTTTTTGAAAACGAAGGAAGGAAAGAAATTTCTTGTTCAAGTCTAAAACTAGAACAAGAACACACTCTAAAACAAAAAACAGAATTAATTTACTTACAACAATTTTCATATTATTGCTGTAGAAATGCAGAAAGGAAAGACAATCGAGGCGCGTGTTGAACACATTTTCCTTAAGATCGTCACGTCCTCGCTACGGTGCTCGGGAACAAATAACGCCGACCTCCCAAGATGCAACGACTATCCGAGAATTGCAGCACTACAATCTAGGTCTGGCGAACAGACTATATCTCTCTTACAAAAAATATAAAAATAATATGTAGACAGTATGCAGAAGATAGAGAAGAAAGTGAAGGAAAAAATGACTGAGGGAAATGGTTGGAGAAAGCCTGTATTTATAGGTAATAAGGTGACTGTTCGGATGGGTTTGGAAGCCCTCCGAACAGGTGTGAAACTGAGAAACTGCCGGAGTGAAAAGAGGTGACCGGAGAAGGAAGAGATGCCACTGTTCAGGTTTGAATTTGAAAATCTGGCACAAGTGTTTGAATTTTTCCCGTAAGATTTGTGGAAATAAAATAAATAAATAAATAATTTAAACAAATTTTATCCAAAAAATTAAAGCTAGGACCCGACCCGACCCGACCCGCGGCGGCGGCGACATGCGCGCATGGTGGTTTTGAGCCAAGCTTATTTTGTCCATAACTCCCCTCCTTACAAAACTTGGGGTGCCCCTTGGGGCCCAACCCAAGCGTGTACACCTACAGCTTATATACTTACACTAGCTCTCTTAAAGTTTCAATGTGGGACATCCAATTTAAGGATACTCACATTTAACTCTTCAACTTCCTATTTCACGAACCCAAAAACAACGTTAAGTTCACATTCACTCATAAATGGTTTTGATAAACCGTCTTCACCGTATGACTTGCCACGCAGTAAGAAACACGTCACCTCTTTGGACCCACTCCAAAAACTATGTGGGCCCTATTCAAATTTAGACTCAAAAGTGGCCCAAAATAAGCCTATGAGAATCATAAGTTCCAACATAAGTTGTGACACTCAGTGTTTTTGTTTGAATTTTGAGAGACAACTTGACTAGTGTCGCATAATAAGCGGTGTCGAATAATACTCCAAAACTATCAAATAATCACTCTTCCAAAGGCATAAAATAATTTTTCCATAGTATCTATCACCTGCGGAATTGAAATTTTGAGACATAATATGATAAATGCCAATCTACAAATATAGTGGTGTATTGCTCCAAAATGCTGAAGAAATTATCAAAAACAGTGGCTTAGAATTTACTTAAAAGTGGTTATTTTATGGTCATGGAACAATACTTAGGCCAAGTTTGGCATGTTGAGGAAAAGCCAAAAAGTTAAAAAGTTATTCAAAAAGTTAAAAGGCTAACACTATTCACCAAAAGTCAACAATTACGGTTGCACAGCTCCCAATCCTAATTTTCTCCTACAAACCAATTTTTACAATTTTTTATTACACATTTTTCCATAAAAAGTCAAAAAGTTAACCCAAACATCTATATTTTCTTCTTCAATTTTTTAATCTAAAAAGACAAAAATACACTTATTTAGGATACCCCAAACAACCCCTTAATACCATTTAAGACATAAATAACATTTGTCATGTTGCCTTCTATAAAGCAAATAAAAAGTACTAAGGTCTGGTTTGAGAATATGTTATTTTAATAAATTTTTTGATTAAAATATGAGATAAAAAAAAATAATCATCTTATTTGATTGTAATTTTTTAAATTCAATTTTTTGAAAATTGATTTTTTTGTTTCTTATATTTTTTTTGTTTTTTATAATATTTTAAACAAATCTTTTACTTTTTAGATACACTCAATATAAATTCAACTAAAAAGTATAATATTTGTAAAAATGACATCTTTAAAAAATTCTCTAAATATCAAAATTCGGGCTTGAGTAAGTCTCTAGGTTCGTGGATCCGAACCCTTTCGAATCCGAGTGCCTCGGATCTCTAGGCGTTCTTAATACCCTTTCGAGTCCGGGCTTGAGTAAGTCTCTAGGTTCGTGGATCCGAACCCTTTCGAGTCCGAGTGCCTCGGATCTTTAGGCTTGCTTAATAGCCTTTCGAAAGCCAAGTGTTTCGGACCTCTAGGTTCGTGGATCCGAACCCTTTCGAGTCCGAGTGCCTTGGATCTCTAGGCTTGCTTAATACCTTTTCGAGTCCGGGCCCGAGTAAGTCTCTAGGTTCGTGGATCCGAACCCTTTCGAGGCTTAGAGCCATTTAGCCCGTTTGATGGTGATAAATTCGGGCCCACCAATCTTGGACTATTGGGCCTAATTAATTTAATGGGCTCAAATTAGGTCCTCTTACACCTTCATAACATAAAAATTCACCACTTATTTTCAAAGATTGAACCACCACTCATCGCTCAACACAAAACCCACCACAATTACACATCTGATCATGAAAATTACCACAATTTCATTCAATAAACCACCACCAATGCCCATCCAACCATGGCAAACACCATAACCCACCAACACACTTATCACCCCTAATTTTCACATATCTTCTTCTCCCTTGCCACAATAGTTATGTGTTGAGTTATAGAGAGCATGAGGGAGATCAGGTTGATACTTGAGCAACTATAGTGTTCTTACCCACAATGGCATTGTTCAAGCTACATTTTTGAGTTGGGAGGATATGAGAGACGGATCAAGAGAAATGAAAAGAAGAGTTTTTTGTTAACAAGGGCAAAATGGATGTATATATATATATATATATATAATAAAATAAAAATTGTTGGCATATGTAATTTATGTTTGATTGATTGGCTGAAAGGTCAAGTGTGACAAAATTTGTAAAAGTATGGGAGATCATTGATGTTTGGAACATGCTATATCCCATGAATATTGTCTAATGTTAGAAAGTATAAAAAGTCTCTTAAAAATAAGTAAAAATGATAAAAATTATATTGATTTTAGTAAAAGTGTATTAAAATTAGTAAAAAGTGTATTATGATCTATAAATATTTTGTCTTTTATTTATGTCTTAGAGCATCCCTAGCAGATACCTTATATCACCTCCTTACTCAAAATAAGAGATTTTGCTGTCAAAAAACACCCCATCATATCCCTTAACCCACCCCTCAAATAAAAGTGTTGATACAGTTGCTTCCCAAAAATATAAAATTATTTTTTATTCAACCTTGAGCATCTCCATCTCCAAAAATATAAAATATAAAATAATTAAAAAATAATATTTTATTAGAATAGAGAAAGAATAAGAAATTTGTTGGGAGAAATAGATAAAAAAAAATGATTTCTAAAATAGGAAATGAAATTTTTAATAATATTTTAGAGTAAATTCTTATTTTATTTCGTTTTGAAAGCACGTTTGGACGTTCTCGCGGACATCCATCCGGTCGACCGCCTGATCATCCGGCCGGTCGACCGCGTTTAAGCTATCTTGCATCATTGCATGTTGTGCTCTTACTTTTGTTTTTATTATTTTATTATTAAAAAAATTGCATGATTGCATGTTGTGTTCTTACTTTTGTTTTTATTATTTTATTATTAAAAAAATATTTAAATTTAAAAATAATAAAAAATATTATTTTAATAGAATAGAGAAAAAATAGAGAGTTTGTTGGAGAAGTAAATGAAAAAATGATTCCTAAAAATAAGGAATAAATTTTTTAATAATATTTTAGGATAAAATTTAGGCAAACTGATGGAGATGCTCTTAGAAACACTTGTTAACAAGATCTTTAATATTTTAATGAATAAAATGAATGATAATGTAGTTTCAAAAGAGTGGAGGAGATAAGATTGTTCTCACACTAATCAATCAATAACACTTTCATGTATATTAAACAAAACATTAATATATACTACAAAACTTATGAAGCCAGCTATACAAACCAATTTACTACCTAAGGTGGCTACCACTAGACTTGTACATAAACACCTAATAATCTAATCAGACAATGAGATGAAATCAATATAATTGAAGAGTATTTTAGTACTGTTTTAGAATCATATTTTAAAATTTCTTTTTCCACTAAAAAAAAGAAAAAAAGAAAAAAAAAGAAACAAAGAGGGTCCTCTGTTATTAAACCCAAAATATTTTTACTTTAAAGATTTAAGGATAAATTACAAATACACGCCTTGAAATTTATTTAAAATCAGATTATCCTTTGTGATTTTAAAAATTAAATTTTCCATTGTCATTATTTAATAGAATTAACCCAAAAAAAAAAATCCTAACTATTCCCTGTATGACAATAAAATTATATGAATTGTTAATTAAAATATATTTTTGATATAATAAAAAATTATTAATTGAATTAATAATTTATTAATAAAATATATATAATTTATTATATAATTAGAAACTTAAAGAAATGGAATGTAATTTTTAAAATTATAAAGATCAATCTTTATTTTAAATAACAATCTCAAAAGATTTATTTATAATTTATCAATATTTGACCACTTAAATCATATTTTAAATATTGAAAATGCTATCCACAACCATGTGACATTTCATAAAATACTTAATAAAAATTTTAATATTCTTAATATTACGCTTTAAATATTCACTCACTTTAAAATTAATCCCATACTGAATTAAGGGGTTGTTTGGAATGATCTAAATAAGTGTATTTTTTATCTTTTTACAAAAAGATGTACAGAAAAGTAGAGAGATGATGTGATGAAAAAAAAATAAAATAAAAAATGTGTATTTATTTTGGATAGCCAAACTTGACCTAAAGAGAATCAGAATAATGGGCAATTTCAATATTCTTAATATTACGCTTTAAATATTCACTCACTTTAAATGTAATCGCATAGTGAATTAAAGAGAATCATACTAATGAGTGCTTACATCAGCAGTGGAGAGGCCCAGGTCCGCCATTATGCCAGACTCCGCAGGTGAAGAATATCCACTCTGCCCACCAAAATCATTTTAAAATTTACTAAAAATTGTCAAGTTGGTGTCAAATGTCAATATCATCATCACCTGATTACACGGCCACCATCCCGACAAACAGAAACTGCAATTACACGTTTCTTCGCTGATTATTCATCGGATTTAGCCTTCCTTTGAGAAGCCTAAACTTAGATTTTTTTATTTTAATCATAAAAAATAAAATAAAATTTTTAATTTAATAAGACAAAATATTACATCTAATTTAAAGTTATTATATTTTTTCTTTAACAAAAAAGTTAAAAAAATCAAAAATTCTTTTCAAATCAAGTTTTTTTAACTCCAAATTAAAATAATTAAAAAAATTTAAAAAGCAAAAAATCAACCACTTCTCAAACAAAGGCAGTCTTCAAAATGGTCTAAATTTATGCACGCTGGTTATTTGGCAAATAGCAGTCGATATGTCAATTGATAAAGATGACAAATATCAGTTAATATGTTATTTGATAGGGGTAAGATTAATCATCTAAACGATTATTTGACTGGCAGATCGCTAGACTTACATAATTTAAATGATTTGAACAAGTTAAAATTTAGTATATTAATAATTTTTCTTAATAAATAAAGAAGAATTAAATCACAAAACAAAAAAATTTAAGGTAATTAACTGCTAATCAATAATTTTTTCTTTTTAACGAAAGTATGGAATGATCAAAATGCGCCAATCTTTCTCTCTATGTGTCTTTGTCATTCTTTTTTTTTATTTTTATTTTATATATATATATATATTTTAATATATTATTTCTGTTGCCTTTTTTAATTTCAATCAGACACATGAAGTACAAGGCTCAGGTTCAAGCTGTGAGTTCATTGTTCCTCTTACTTGTTGATGGTTAAAAATGATTTAACAAACTCTTTATAGAAATGGCTTTCATGTACTTTAAATATATATAAATATATATATAAATACACATATCATTCTTCTTCCATCTTAAATTATCTTTTTATTTTACATCAAAAAAAAGTTATTCATTCTATTAGAAATTGCTTCTATGATATTTAATTTTTTTTTAATGTATATATCATTTATATATACACGTGTATTTTGTATATATGGTGAAAAAAAATTATTTTTCTTTTCACCCCTCTAATAATGAAATCCTGATTTCGTCCCTGTCTATAGCCATCGGCAACCTCTCCCTACACAACCACAATCAACTCCCCGCTCGCCCAACTCAACCCCAGCGTCGCCTTTCCCATCTCCTCCTATTTTCATTTTTATAATAAAATCATTTTGTTCATATAGGACTTGCACTTTACCCACACAACTTAATGGGAAATTATTTAATATTCTCAGAGTATCGAGTGTCTGTATTCTCTAACAAATCATCATTTATTATGCCTCCTCATGTTCCTTAATCACCCAATACAATACCCCACCTCTTCCATTGTATATGAGAGAAATATTCGCCTCGCTCCGTACCTCCTTGCTACCAAGCTTGTCTCACTCCGTTGGAACTCCTTCGTACTATGAACAAAACACTGGTGAGCTATCCGACGGGTGGATTGCCGAAAAACCCCTCCGACGATCAAGTTAGCTTTCTAAGAGAAAAGAGAAAGCAGAGCACTATAGAGAGAGAGAGAGAGAGAGAGAGAGAGAGAGATTGCTTACCTCTAACATCTACATGCTCCTCCTTTTCAAGGTTGGCCATGCAGTCTCAGAGATTGTGGACGTACTACCTCTACGATCCTTTATTGGACAGGCCACTGTGCACTCCTATACCTTTCTTACACGTGTAGAGAACCAAACCACCAAGCAATGTTTGTCGCACCGCCAAACAGTATTGACACATACTAGGAGTGGATTCCTCTCTTCTCATTATTGGTCTACGTGGAATACCTAACCGAACTATTACTTGGCGATAAACAGCACCAACTCCAACTTCCCAAATATTGGGTTAAGTTTGATAAACTATTCCCTCGGTATCAAGGTCGAATTACATTAATCTTGATCTCCCACACACCGAGTTGAATGCGGGTGAGCGAATCGCATCTCTTCAGGTCGGTCGAACGAGGGTGTACTGTCCGCCCTTCTCGTTAAGACGATCCCTTCGGTCACAGTGATGAATCTAGCTCCGCCGCACGAAGTGTCAATCTTGTTTGGTGCGGCCTAGAGCGTATGTCGTGCGGCCTTTGCTCGGCCCAACACCATTCTCATGTTGATCTAGGCCCAACGAACAACACAACTGTGCTGTACCTAGGTCGGGCCAATGCTTGGCATAAATTCCCCTCTCAATTGCCCTTTAATCCTATCCGCGTTGAGCGTAATTGGGATTACCTTTCATTACTAAGCTATCAATTATGTACGGTCTTTGAGACTTGTGCTGGTTGTCTTGTCATCACTCAGTCAGCCGCATTGATATCCCGTCGGCCGTATTGACAACCAGTCATCTCCTTGTCGCGTAGCGTTCCCCTATTCGCTCCGTGTGACCTCATAGTTGTCATCATTCTGCCGAAAATTCAAAAGGTTGTCGCCCTTTTGTTTTTCCCCTATATATACGCTCAAGAAGCCAAAAAATCCCTATCACTATTCATCTTCTTTTTTGTTCAAAACCCTAAACCCCTGAGCTCCTGCCACCATCGCCGTTGCTGTCATTGCGCCTGTTAATGTTGTTTCCAGTGTTTTCCCTCGTCTAGGACATTGTAGCAGAGGCCGAGGTTGATTGAACCTCTATTTGGCTTCTGAATCCGTAAGTTTTCCTTGCCCTTTTCTTCTTTGCACCACTATTCTTCGTGTTTTTCAAGTTTTTTCTCGTCTGGGGTTGCTGATACCTTGTCAATGGCCCATCTTTAGAGTAAAACTAGTAGGTGTTTATAGAAATTAGGCAAAATTGAAACAAAGAGCGTGTATGGGGCCTCCGTGCCCCTTATTCCCCTGAGTTTCCATATGTAACTTTGCGTTTAGGATGAACAACACAAATTCTGGATAAAACTGAGGAAAATCCCTATTTTAGATCTAAAAATAGGATTGAGCTGGGTTAAAACTAGTTTATGGTCTTGCCAAGAGGCGGTGACTGTGCTAGGAGCTTGTAGGGACACCGATCGATATAGGAACCCAAATATTAGAGACTAAGGCCCAAGACCGGCCTAACATCCCTAGGTCCTGAACTGAGCTATTAGGCTTCACTCTGATAGCCGAGCTAAAATGCTCTTTAATCTTTGAGCCATGCAGAATATACCGCGCTAACACTTGCACTTGATTTCTATTATGCAGACCGAACTAGGGCCAACCAGGCACACATCAATATCATAATCGGTGAAACTCAAAGACCGAGCAAATAATCACCAGGGCCTATTGCCGAGCTATTATCATATAAAAAATGAGACCGGGGTAAATGGGAAAATACCAATTTATGGTTAGTTCACCAGGCGCTATTGTCGAGTTCCGTAGGGAGTTCAACATTCCATACAACGTCCACTTAGAGCTGGCAAAAAAAGAAGACACTCTCTAGGGCAAATTAGATGCCTGTCCCTTCACCATGGTGAAGTCCAGCCCCTAGCTTGCGAGTTTTTTAAGCAGACTAGGTTGTGCCTAACCCAGGTCTCCAACAACACATACAAGATAATAAATGGCGTGGCCGCGATAAACTGCATCCTCGGTTTGAACCTCAGTCTTGCTGAAATATTCCACCAGTATACACTTAGCAAAAATAAGGGAAGCTTTTGCTGGTACCTCAAGGGTAGGAAAGGCCGAGCAAAACTTATAGAGGATAACTTGGACAAAGAATTAAACAACGATGATTTTCTATGGGTATCCGGCAATTATGAGGACACCAAGGCGCCCATACTGGGCTAGTACATATGCAAAAATTACAAAAGCCCTGGTGAGCAGCCTAGCACGGTTTATATTTTTGCATCTGATCCATTTTGCAAATCTAACACCTGGAACTTTTGTGCAGATTACACAATTTTGGCAGAGTATTATTCTCACGCCAATCAAGAGGCCATTAGAGTTATTTTGCGGTATCTGGCCGAGGAATGAGAACCCAAAAAGTTGCTTGGATACGAACCAAGCTACCAACATATTGCACCGTGCAAAAATCGGGTTACCGATTTTCTTCGTGCCCCCTCTCCGAAGCCGGATCCAACCTTTCGTTGATCAAACTTGTCCCCCTAATAGCCGAGCAAAAGATAGCAAAAATTCGCGCCATCAAGTCGATGATCACTGGCGAGCCGAGCGATTCTCAGCTAGCGAAAACGGCAGGAGGCCAATCCTCTAAGCCAGCCGTGCAAGAAGGAGGACCAGTGCTAGCTCTTGCCAGCAAGTAAGTTTCTGGTCGGTTAAAGAAGAGGCCAAGGTGAGCTTCAACCAAACAGTGTTTGGTCAATGAAGATTCAACCGATCTGCCATCTGCCAATCATGGAGAGCAGACTGAACAACCCTTGGCCGAGCAGTCCACTCGCTCCACTACCTCTCCAGTCTAAACAAAGGCTGAGTAGTAACCATGGCTGACTCGGTCTATGCTGACAAGGACTACTCCCCTGGCTTCAACATGACCAAGGGTCAGCTCTTTCCAACAGACATGAAGAAACATGAAGAACTTTCCGACCTGAAGGTCCTTAGGTCGACCACAAAGTCGATTGCTCTAGTAAGTATGCAAATCTTTTTGTAACAAGTCGTTGCTCGGTTTCAGTGTGTTGACTTCTACTTTCTGCGGCATGCATGTTCCTTTAAGACGTCCCTCAGGTTCTCTAAACGGACGAAGTAAGAGTATCTCAACGTCGTTGACAGACGCGAAGGACGGTAACTACTATCATGCGTGCACGATCTCTCTATCAGTGGATCAGAATCGCAAAGGTCGTAGCTCTTGGTGATGGAGAGAGAAGGTGTCCCCCGTTGGTACTGGCTGCCTGAGTGATAGGGTTGGGTGCGCTCACTGTGGTTTCTCACTCCAGCAACACCCTTTCCTTTGATTTGTCGCTTTAACGTCTCCATCTCAGTTGTCATCTTCCGAATGAAGGCGTTTTGGTCTCTAAGCTTGTGCTCTAAGCGTTGGACATGCGATTCTCCTCGCCGCTGGCGCCCCTTAGGACTCTGCGAATGGTCAGTGCTCCTCGTGTGTTTGTCTTATGCGTCTCTGGGTAGCCCTCTAGAGGAGGTCTCCAGGCCCGCCATGGTCGGAACGGCAAGAGGGCCATCTCTTCTTCGGACTGACTCCAGAGTGATACCGTTGACAACAAACAGCAGTGTTTCGTCGATGTTCGCCATGAAAAACAACCAAAAAAGCTTGTAGAACAAGGTTTGTCAATCAAAAAACTTCTCATAGATGACGTCAATTGTACGAAAGAGAAATATTCGCCTCACTCTATACCTCCTTGCTACTAAGCTCGTCTCACTTCGTTAGAACTCCGTCGTACTATAAACAAAACACTAGTGAGCTACCCGGCGAGTGGGTTGGCAGAAAACCCCTCCGACGGTGAAATTAGCTTTCTAAGAGAAGAGAGAAAGCAGAGCACTATAGAGAGAGAGAGTTCAAGATTACTTACCTCTAACGTCTACATGCTCCTTCTTTTCAAGGCTAGCCATGCAGTCTCAGAGATTATGGGCGCACTACCTGTGCTATCCTTTATTAGACAGACGACTGTGCTCCCCTCTACTTTTCTTACACGTATAGAGACCCAAACCACCAAACAGTGTTTGTCACACTGCCAAAAGGTGACTGTGCATACCATAAGTGAATTCCTCTCTTCTCGTTATTGGTCCGTGTGAAATACTTGACCAAACTATTACTTGGCGATAAACAGCACCAACTCCGACTTCCCAAATACCGAGTTAAGTCTAATCGACTATTCCTTCGATGTCAAGGCCAAATTACGTCAATCTTGATCTCCCTTACACTGGGTTGAATACGGGCGACCGATAGCTCGATCGCCACGTAGCTCGCATCTCTTCAGGTTGGTCGAACGAGGGCGTACTGTCCATCCTTTCGGTAAAAACGATCCCTTCGGTCACGGTGATGAATCTAGCTCGGTTGCACCAAGTGTCAATCTTGTTTGGTGCAGTCCAAAGCATATGCCGTGCGGCCCTTGCTCGGTCCAACACCATTCCTGTGTTGATCCAGGCCCAATGGATGACATAATCATATTGTTCCTAGACTGGCCCAATGCTCGGCGTAAATCCCCCTCTCATCCACCAATCATAATGTCATGGAATATCACATGTCAATGTTCTGACCACAATGAGGGCAAAAATATAAAAAAGATCATGAGGTCTCGTTTGGTATGCAACACTTTTAGCTTAAAAGTCAAAAAATTATTAAAAAAATCAAAAAACCTATAACCTATACTAAAAAGTCAAAAATTTCATGTTCTCTCTACTTTTTACATATCTTTTCGTAAAAAAATAAAAAATCATCCCAAATATACTAATTTTTTTTTATCTCATATTTTAACTAAAAAATTAAAAAAATACTAAAATAACATGTTCCCAAACGAGACCTGAGTTAATAAATAATTTTTTACTTTCCACTGTTGTAAATTTGAGTTTCTTTTCACTCATCCATAACAAAAAAATCCCCTTTTTCGACTGAAGAATAATGGGCTTGTTTGGTTTGAGTTTGGGAGATGAATTTTGGAAAAAAAAATTCCAAAAATTGTTTGGTTTGAGTTTTTCTCAAAAAAATTTCCAAAATCACTTTCTCTCTCCTACACATCAATCAATCACTTTTTATCTCTCCTCTCTCCTTCTCAATCACTTTTTCTCTCACACACATCTACTCAATTCTTCTAAACTATCAAATCATTCCAAACTCCTACAAAAAATTTCTCTCTCAAAATATATAACCAAACAAACCAAAAAAATTTCAAAAACAACTCTCCCAAAAACAAACCAAACAAGCCCAATATCCCCATAAATTAACAAGGGCAAATTGTAAATAAGTAAGATTAGTCACAAATTAACTGCACTATAGATGAAAATCTTTTCTGGTGGAACTTTAATTAACACACATGAAAACTTACATCAAGTATAGAATTAGACTTGCATTATTATACACATAAAAGACTTACCTTACCATAAAAATGTAATTATTTTTTTACTGTTACATTAAAATACAATTTCCCCAATTAACACAGTACTAGGTGCAATTGGCTAATACATTAATGAACCGAGACTAGTGCGATTATGGTAACTTCTAATTTTTCCAAATTGATTGACACATGAAATGAAAACTTGGTCAATGCACACCTAAATAATAATTTAAAAAAAAAAAAAAAACCTTACTAGTGATGTTTTAAATAACACTATTTGGACTTGTATTATTGTACAAGTTGGAATCAATTTTCCATTGCCGAATGATGATGCTATCTGCGACCCACCGCATTTGTTTTATTGGTTCATCAATACAATTTCTTTCCCAATAAAAAAGCAAAAACAGTGATAGTGTGGGCTCCAGTATGTCTTTGTACATCGTAAAAATAATATCAAAACATATTTTTTTTTTTATATTTCTACATATTTTATATATAGATCAAACTTTTCCCAAATTTAAAATAACTTGAGGGTCACGAGTTTAATTTTAATAATTTAAATTATTTATTTTATAAGATTCTTAACCTATATCATTTATGAAAAAAATATAATAATTTAATAATTGTAATATTCTCATTTTATCATGCTTGTCATCAAAAAAATCGATAATTATATTTTTTAAAATAGATTATTTATTTTTCTTTTATAGAAATAATACAATAAAATAAAAATACTACTATTACAACTTAATTTTTGTTTACGAATGATAAATACCAAAAATCTTATAAAATAAATAATTTAGATTATCAAAATTAGATTGCCTCTCAACTATAAATATCAAAGTTGAAAGAAACTCAACCTTTTTATTTATCTCATTTGAGGACTCGTTTGAGAATTGATTTATTTAATATTTTATAATTTTTTATAAAAAATCAAGAAAATCATTTGACAACTTGTAGTAATTTTTAATTTTTATTTTTGGGCTAAAAACCAATCATCCCAAACAAGGCCAATAACCATATATTAGATCATTAATATTTTCCGAAAAAAAATAAAAAAAAGAGCTCCATACAATGTCAGCAGTAGCATATGTGCGGCTCTTGAGGATGGGTTTGACATTGACATACGGTGGTGGTGGTCATTGAGGAGAGAGATGGCAGGAGTAGTCGGGAGAGGGAGAGGGTAGTGATCAGGTACAGGAGAGTCCATGTCCACACTAGTTTGTTTGTTTGTGTATTTGAAGTAATTTAGCTGATATGGCACTACATGATTTGCTACCCCTAAATCAAGGCCTTGTTTGGCAACTTAAATTTTGACTAAAATAATTAATTAAAAAAAAATTAAGAGCTTGTTTGGTATTCAATAAATAAACTTATTTATTTAAATAAATACACTTATTACTTTTATTTTTTTTATATACATATTTTTTAAAATATAAAGTGCATTGGTTTAAATCATTTCCAACAATCACTAAAATAATAAATAAAATAAAATATTACATTCTATACCTCAATTATTATTTTTTTCTCACAATCATCTAATATTTAAGTTAAAAAAAATATATAAATTATTCCAAATACAATTTCTTTTTCATCTTATAAAACAGTCACAAATCAAAAAATTAACTAAATGGTCAAGTTCCAAACGAAACCAATATATATTTATGAATGATGGATCAACCGCAAATATAAGTTGCATTAATCTATTTTCTTTTTTGTTTTATTAATGTACCAAATTAAGGAGATCAAGAGAGCTAAAAAAAAAGCTCCTGCAATTAATCAATGTTATCTATGTATGCAGACGAATAGAGAGAGAGAGAGAGAGAGAGAGAGAGAGAGCTTACAGCAAAACCATAAGCAAAGGAACCGCTGACAGCAACAAAGGTGCTGAGAACAACAACAGCCGTGACGGCGGCAGAGGAGGAGGAACCACCACTCTCTTCTTCATCACCACCACTATCACCACCACCGCCACCACCGCCACCACCACCATCCCCACCACCGGTTGCATCTATGTGCTGAGGCTTTTCTTCAGCAAGCAGGCACCTTGTTATCTGCCCATCCTCTATGCTTTCTCTCTCCATGTTCTTCTGTTTTTCTCTCTCTGTCTCCTCCACCAATGGAAAAAAATACCCAATTACAAAGAGTTTCATTATATTATTATATAAAAATAAAGGAGATGCTACCTTATGTACTTAAAAAAGACATATATTAATATGTCCTTTCATAATATACTTTTACAAATTATTTCATAATACAATTAGAAAATATTATTTTTTTTATCACAAAAGTTACAATATTTTTGTTAGAAATAGTTATAAAATTTTGGATAAAATCAGAATTTTTTTCTAAGTTTGGTCTATTTTTTAGGTGGGCCCCGTGCGTCGATTTTCACGGGCCAAAGTGGTAACGCATTCTATGCCACGTTGTGATTCACGTGTTATATTTGGTTGCTCAAAACCATTTCCGAGTGAATAGGAAATTGAAGCTAAAGTGTGCTACATGGAAATGGAGTTTTGGTGAAAATTCCTTAAGGTTGTAAAATGGTTTGTCCCACATTGATTTGGTGGGAGGTTTTGAATGGATTTATAAGGCTTGGGTTTGGTACTTGGGGTGTGCCCAAAAGGGGTACCCAAGTGTTTTAGAGGGAGAGGTTATGGACAAAATGGGCTAGACCCATTGGACCCAAAAATTACCACACGCGCGCCGCCAGCGTCCAGGCAGGCGGGCTAGGCTTGGGCGCGTGTGTGAGGTTGGGTTGGGCTTGTTTGGGCCAAAAATATTTGAATTTAATTTTATTTTTGGTAAAATAAAATCCAGAATTCAAATTAAACTGATTTGGATTTTCTGTACATCCAAGCAGGGCCCTTCCCCTTTTTTGCTATCTGTTTGAATTATTAACTGATTCAAATCTGTTTAAATTCAAAACCAACAGGTATCATACATGTTCAATTTAAAACCAAGAGCCACCTTTACATCTATAAATAAGACCACCCTCATTTGATGTTATTGATTCAGAAATTTCGTATTTCACCTCTGCTTATTCTATTCTTCATTTTGTTGCATTTTATTTCTGAAAGAAAGAGTGTAAACACTTAGTGTGTTCGTAAGACAAACAATTTGTAGTACTGCTATTGTTTGTAGTAGATCATTTTATCCTGAGAGATAGACGTCCGCATTCTGAAAGCACCGTGAAGAGGACGAATCTGTCTTAAGGACACAGTGTCAAACACTGGACTTGATCAGATTATAATTCGAAAAAATTAAATCAAGTAAGTTATTTAATTAATTTTTGTGTTTTTGTTATTTATTTAAATCAGATTTTAATTTTGTTTTTGTAACAAAATAAAATCTGTTTTTATTTATTTATTTATTATTTCGAGTTTGATTTTTGTAATCAAACAAATTCTCTCATTTTCTTTATTTTTTTTAAATTCTAGTTGTTATTTTGTACACAATAGAATTAAATCTTTTAAATACAGTGAAGATTGTCCAACAATCTTAAGACAGACTCCTTTTTGGTATCTTTATTGTATTTAATTTTCTGTGTTTTCAAACTAATATTCTGGTTGGAAAAACAAATAGTGATTTATGCTATTTGACAGATAGTAGTAATATACCGTCTCTTTTCTTTGACAACTAGTAGTAATATACTGGTGTCATTAACAATTGCAAAATATTATTTGGTGTTACAGGAAATTATTTTGGTATTTTATTTTTCTAGTTTTAGTAACAAGGAAAATAAAATTATATTATTTTTTAGTTTTAGTAACAAAGAAAATAAAATTATTTTGTGTTTTAATTTATTTTCTGATTTTGGTAACTAGAAAATATTTTGTGTTTGTTCTGATTTTTGTAATCAGATAGTTTTGTGGTATTTTATTTTCTAGTTTCAGTAATAAGGAAAATAAAATTACAGTATTTTCTAGTTTTAGTAACAAGAAAAATAAAATGATTTTGTGTTATAATTTATTTTCTGGTTTAAGTAACTAGAAAATTAATTTGTGGTTTGGTTTTCTGATTTTTGTAATCAGATATTATTTCGGTATTTTATTTTACTAGTTTTAGTAACAAGGAAAATAAAATTATAGTATTTTCTACTTTTAGTAACAAGAAAAATAAAATGATTTTGTGTTATAATTTATTTTCTGGTTTAAGTAACTAGAAAATTAATTTATGGTTTGGTTTTCTGATTTTTGTAATCAGATATTATTTCGGTATTTTATTTTACTAGTTTTAGTAACAAGGAAAATAAAATTATAGTATTTTCTAGTTTTAGTAACAAGAAAAATAAAATGATTTTGTATTTAATTTATTTTCTGGTTTAAGTAACTAGAAAATTAATTTATGGTTTGGTTTTCTGATTTTTGTAATCAGATATTATTTCGGTATTTTATTTTACTAGTTTTAGTAACAAGGAAAATAAAATTATAGTATTTTCTAGTTTTAGTAACAAGAAAAAAAAATGATTTTGGGTTATAATTTATTTTCTGGTTTAAGTAACTAGAAAATTAATTTGTGGTTTGGTTTTCTGATTTTTGTAATCAGATAAGTTTTGTGGTATGAGATAATTTAATTTTCTTCTGTTACAAATATTTTTATGATAGTGACATTTATTTGTTATTGAGTTGCAAGAATGTATACAATCATTGGGTTTTTTGAATTGTTTGATTCTTAGGCAAAATTTTTTTATGAGGATATGATTTTTGTCAAAACATTAATTCTGATTTGTGTAGTCATAATTATTTTGGATTTTTCATTTGAAATTTATGAATCATGATTTGAAATTTATGAATCAAGCACATCATAGACAACAAGTGATGGATGTTATATTGTGATTTATATTAGAAGTGATAGGGGTGGTGAATATGATGCACCATTAAATGAATTTTGTGCACAACATGGCATTATTCACCAAACTACAGCCCCTTATTCTCCACAGCAAAATGGAATTGCTGAAAGGAAGAATAGAACCCTAAAAGAAATGATGAATGCCATGTTACTAAGTTCAGACTTACCACAGAACTTGTGGGGGGAAGCAATATTGTCTGCTAATTATTTTCTTAATAGAATACTCCACAAGAAAACCAAGAGCATTCCTTATGAATTGTGGAAAGGTCGACCACCTTCCTACAAATACTTAAAAGTGTGGGGGTGTTTGGCAAAAGGTGAAGTTCCTGTTCCTAAAAATACTAAGATTGGACCAAAAACGGTAGACTGTGTGTTTATTGGTTATGCTCAGAATAGTAGTGCATATCGGTTTCTGATTTATAAATCAGAAATACCTGATATAAATGTGAACACTATTATAGAGTCAAGGAATGCTGTGTTTTTTGAACATGTCTTTCCTTACAAGAAAGGACAGGAATTAAGTTCACAGAAAAGAACTTATGATTGTACACAAAGTCAAGAGACTAATGACAATCAAACACAAGAGACTAGTAATAGTCTCGACCAACAGGATTTAACTAATGATGAACCAAGACGAAGTAAAAGAGCGAGAACATCAAAATCCTTTGGTCCAGATTTTCTAACATACTTGTTAGAAAATGAACCTCAAAGCTTTAAGGCAACAATGACAAGTCCTGAAACACCTTTGTGGAAAGAGACTGTTAATAATGAAATTGAATCCATTATGCAAAATCATACTTGGGAATTAGTGGATCTTCCACCAGGTTCTAAACCTCTTGGATATAAATGGATATTCAAGAGAAAAATGAAAGCAGATGGTTCAATTGACAAGTATAAAGCAAGACTTGTAGTTAAAGGTTACAGACAAAAGGAAGGTCTGGACTATTTTGACACATATTCCCCTGTGACAAGAATAACATCCATTTGCATACTTATTTCTATAGCAGTGTTGTTTAAATTAGAAATACGTCAAATGGATGTTAAGACAGCTTTCTTAAACGGTAATCTAAATGAAGAGATCTATATGAAGCAACCCGAAGGGTTTGTAGTATCAGGGCAAGAAAAGAAAGTTTGTCGACTTGTAAAATCCCTTTATGGATTAAAACAAGCACCTAAGCAATGGCATGAAAAATTTGATCATGCAATGCTTACTAATGGGTTTAAGATAAACGAATGTGACAAATGCGTCTATGTTAAAAACACTGACCAAGGATATGTCATAGTTTGTCTTTATGTGGATGACATGCTTATCATTGGAAGCAGTCAAAACATGATTAAATCAACTAAGCAGATGCTTAACAAAAGATTTGATATGAAAGATATGGGGGTCGCAGATGTTATATTAGGAATGAAAATTACTAAAATATTTGACGGATATGCATTATCTCAATCTCATTATATTGAGAAAATTCTTGATAAATTTATCAAGGATGATTTGAATTTAGCTAGAACACCTGTAGACATCAGTCTTTATTTATCGAAAAATAAAGGTGATGCAGTGTCTCGGTTAAAATACTCCCAAATCATTGGAAGCTTAATGTACCTAATGAATTGTACTCATCCTGATATAGCTTATACTATCAGTAAATTGAGTAAGTACACTAGTAACCCCAGAGAAGACCATTGGAAAGCGATCATTCGGGTTCTTAGATATCTAAGATTCACCCGTGATTTTGGTTTGAAATTTACTCGATATCCAGCAGTACTCGAAGGTTATTGTGATGCCAATTGGATATCGGATACTAAAGATTCAAAATCCACTAGTGGATATGTCTTTACTCTTGGAGGCACTGCTGTTTCTTGGAAGTCCACGAAACAAACTTGCATCGCACGATCCACAATGGAATCCGAGTTCATTGCTTTAGACAAAGCAGGTGAAGAAGCAGAATGGCTTCGTCACTTCTTAGAAGACATTCCAAATGTGGCCAAAACCTGTGCCAGCTATTTGCATTCATTGTGATAGTCAATCTGCAATAGGTAGGGCACAGAATCACATGTATAACGGTAAGTCACAACATATTCGTCGTCGACATAATACTGTAAGGCAATTATTGTCAAACGGAATAATCTCAATAGATTATATAAAATCTAAAGAGAATATTGTGGATCCATTAACAAAAGGTTTGACAAAAGAGCTAGTGTATAGTTCATCGAAGGGGATGAGATTAAAGCCTATTACATAAGAGTCGTCATAATGGTAACCCTACTTATATGACTGGAGATCCCA